TGAGCCATCCTTGCCTGATGAACTGCCTGAGTATCCAGTTCTGTCTTTGCCAGAAATGGCCTGCATCCACGGGGCAGTGGACCACACACACACACACACACACACGTAGACAGATTAGACAGATGCTTAATTGACTTACCCCAAACACTATCGGTTATTTCATCCTGTACTGATTCCAAGTTGTCTAGTTGAGGGTGGGAGCCACATTTTGATGCCTGACTCTATTTAGGTTAATATGGGCGCATAAATTATTTGGGAGGATGGCGAAGCTGTGTGAACCATGATAGAAAGCTAAATGGTCCAATTTTCCCCGTCAGGTGGACGCACTTCCCTCACATCACTCCTGGCAGTCAGCAAGGCTAAGAGACACCAATTAATCTGCCATGGCTATTATATAGAAGATGGATGGGCAAAGCACACTGGGACAGAAAGAGGATATGTAATTTGCTGGGGATCACTGCACAATGGCTGGAACCAGCGATAATTAAAACAGCAGTCAGCAAAAGTTTGATGATTATGCTATAATTTGTAATAGCAGTAATTAAATTAGCACTCTTCATAGTAGTGCTTTCTAATTATAGCTATACTCTGCATAAGCCATACAAAGTGTGGGCCAATGCATTATATTTAGCTCAATTTAAGTGGCTTAATAGTCTTTTGACAAATTGTGAAGTAACGTAATGAGAAAAGATCATGACAGCACATCCGAAAGTTAGCTCTGTCAGCTTTTAAACATTTCTCCATGTCTCCTACCAAAATATTTTAAAGTGATAGGACCAGACATGAACGAGAGACAGGTAGCATTGTTTGAGATCTGCAGTAATAATGCCCTGCAATCTGCCTCCGCTGTATCCACAGAGCTGAGGATTTCTGCTGTTTATGTCAGACTCTGTAAGGGGAACGTGAGCTGGATGTGGAGGACCCATCACAACCTGTATGCTCTTGAATACAGTGTGCATGCATCATAAATGTGACACACTCCTTAGGATGGATATAGATCTGTATCATTGTCTCCATCCTGAGCTGAATATGAACATCTCTGCCGGCTGCTGTGACTCACTGATTTCCCTTGGTTGGGATCTCTCCTAATAACCAAATGTCTGCCCCTCTCAGCACCCCAGCACTGTCAGAGAATGATGACTCCGACGCCTGAACAACATGCATGCTGCTGCATGGTGATTTTCACCAACAGATGGCCATTTGCTCAGGGCTATAGCAATATCTCTGGAATGGAATAGCACGAATACTAAGCAGCCATGAATTTAGATTAATCTTGTTTCCACAGCCTTCTAGTTATGTATTATTATTTTACAGGTTTTTTTTAGCTGGTTGTGCTTTTAGCAGTTTCTCTAAACTGAAGCGAGCTTTGGATTTCCTGATGACAAAGTTGTGCTAGAACCCCAAGGAAGAGGAAAGCAAAGAGATCCAAATAAAGCAATAGTTCATAATAATGAGCCCATCACCATCATCTTTCCTCACCCAGCTGGCAATTAACTCGGCCAGCATGCAATTGTGTGTGCGTGTTTGGATTGTAACGGAATCCACTTTACAGCTGCTACACTATTTTTATGCTTCAGGTGATGAACAGACCAGTTCAAATGTAACATATTTGCTGAAGCAAATACGCTGCATTTGCAAAATACTGAACACATCTGCAAAACTGACTTGATGATACACGGTGACAATTTAACCAAAGCTACAGTCTTTCTCTAACCTGAACTAAGTGTTTTAGTCGTTGAAACAACAAATTGGAAACATGATAAAAAATCCTTTATATGCCTAACTATCCACTTCGACCTCCTCCTACTTCTCTGGGGTTGACAAGACTGGGAAAAAATAGAAATTACATTTCCTTGATCCATGCTAGTAAATTAATATATCTTTAAGGACACAGAGTTGCGAGATGATGAGCTACGAGTCCATTAACCATACATGCACATACTGTATGCCAGAGCTCACAGCTCCTCACCTCTCCAGTTATCCCCTGAAATCAACCATTACCGCTGGCATTCTGCTGTCTGACTCAAAGCTCCAACAGGCCAATGAATACCAAATGAGCCAGAGGAAATCCAGCTGGGAATAGACTGTCAAAAGGAAACGTGGTCTGCCCCCCACCTCCTAATTCAAGTACAGAGTAACATGTCAAACCAGCGCACAAGTCTCAGCTCTTCTCATCTTAATCATCTGAGCCGGTGCGGTTTTGACTCTGCCTTGCCACAGCATTAAATGTGATTAAAGACAAAACCGTGATGTCTGAACATGTCAATGTGATACGAAGTGATCTGATTTTCCCACCATGAGCAGCAGTGACGGTGTGCCTGCAGCGTGCGGGTGCATCCGAGCTCCACACGTGTAATGTCCACACACACACACACACACACACACACAGACACACACACACGTACGGACTGCTGATCTTTTATTTACCATCGACCCTCCAATATGCACAGATGCACACACTAGCACAGAAGCAAAAATCGACAGCTACATACACAAGCATACTCTGCTTCCAGATGAGTCCAACTAACCGACCGTGGAGAGGGAGGTGCAGTGATGCAGAGACGGGGGCCATATACAGGATTCATGTTCACTGCCTGGGAATTATCACATCAAACTCGTATGCCCAATGGTTCTGACAGGCCCAAGGCCGAGCCATTACAGCCTGGTGCAGACAGGAATGACTCTGCTGGACTACGACTGGGCAATGACTATTGTTGTGCACCAGTGATTCCCAACACACCAATAACATTCAGATTTACACAGACACCCAGGGAGGAAGTTCCTGTCAAACTTGCTAAAACAACCAACACAGAATCAGTGGAAATGTTCTCTAAGCGTCACTGACTGTTGCATAGATGAGTTTTCATGATGCGTTCACACTTTCGTCCACTGTGGTTTTGACATTTTTGAGATGGTGGACTTTACTCCATGAAAGTAGTACCATTGAAATCAATCTCTGGTGCTCCGCACAGACATTTATTTGCATGATTTAGTCAGACAGCATCTCAGTGCAGACTTTTGAGATGCTTTACCATGCTGGAAGCATTTGTTACTAAATCACTTGGCAAAAATAAAGAGCACTCAAAGAGCTCATACATCCACATAATGATTGTTTTAATATTTAATTAGTTTCAACATGGATTTTAATTAAAATAGTAATCCTGATTGGCCAATGATGGCCCAGATTCTTGGAGAATAACATATTATTAAGTTATTAAGTTATTGTAATTTATGTCAAATAGACCACATCTGACAACAACAATATTATAAATGAATCAGAGAATCAACAAAGATGCTAACAGGTCTACAAGGCTATACGCTAAGGCACATTTGGTGCTTTGTAGCAGCATGCTAACATGCTCACAGTGACAGTGTTAACAAGCTGATGCTAATCAGGTGTAATGTTTAGCATAGTCACCATCATGATTTAGCATGTGAGCATGCTTACATTTGCTAACCAGCACTAAAATCAAAGTGCAGCTGAGGGTGTTAGAATTGTACCAAGTTTGGTAGGGATGGGATGTTTTGATAAAACAAAACAAAAACCGCTTGTTCAAAATGGCAGTTTACACTTTGCAGTTGGTGAATTATGAGCCAAAATTTATACAAAATTAGTTTTGAAACGTAAGGCAAACACCGTTTACTTTTAAGTCCCCTTTGAGAACAATCAAACAGGACTAAAAACACAACCTCCACAGTGGTAACAATAATTAAATAATTCGACTTCTGTGCATATTTCAGCACTGTGTTATGCTGTGTGAATGTTTTGTAACTATGGCAACAACTTTGTGTACTTCCCCAGAAACCTGCTGAAAAATCACACAGTTTGGATCGATTTTATACCGGATGTCTTGTTCCTAAATATCTATACTACAGGGACCCAGAGACCATCAATATCTGAGGTAGGCTGCTGTTTACGCTGTATCTCATTGAGTTTCCAGGAAATACTTGACTCATTCCCACTGGAGTTGCATCTATCTATAGTTATAGTTATCTATCTGTGTAACATGCTAGCTGATTCGCTCCTCATTGACAATGGTTGAATATTGGTGTAGTAAATGTGGGATTCAAGTTTATCCATGTCTTTATGTCAGATTTGGTGACTTTTCTTGAGTTAATAGCCAATTATTAGACATAATACAACGCTTTAAATGGGATCTTCTGGTTTAGAAACAGTTGCTGCAACGGCATAAATGGTTAATGAAAATGATAGCAGAGCTGGTTGCTTTATGCTGCTCACGCTGAGGCGACAGATGCAACGGGGGGCCGGCCCACTGCAGGGTACCCAGTGACAACACTGGCACAGGCATATGTCTGAGAGACAAAAGGTATGGAGGGAGACACACACACACACACACACACACACACACACACACACACACAGCTAGGAAAAGTCACAGACACTTTGGTCTCACTGACTGAGAGGAATGACAAGGAGAGGAGAGGGATTAAAATGAGAAAGTCACACAGAGTTGCCTTCGTATTTGATAGATGTAAGATGCACAAAGGAGAGGAGTATGCTGTGTGAGAGGATGGGAGAACTTTGTGCAGAGTGAAAGACCCTGACTTCTCTTTTATTCTCTCTCATGCTGAGTTTGAAAAAGTAGTATTTCAACAGTGAGCTCAGGTAAAAGTGGGGATACATCTCCGAGTTGACATTTTATTCACTCTTTCCTGTATATTTTTAGAGAGCAAGTGATGTGCTGTGTCTTTGAAAGTGTTTGAAATATCTACAAGATGACAACGTAAAGAATAATCTGAAGCACTGCGCTTTGAAAGGACCTAAATTCAACGCTTTCTTCCTTCTAACACTATCATGACGGATATTCAGCCTCGCAGACATACACAAGCCTTTGATAAATTATTAGTAGCCACATTCTCTTCCCAGAATTGCATGTTGATTTTATACAAGATGGAAGTTTCACAGAGAAACTTAAGACTAACTTCCCAGGATTGGCGACAAGGGCTTAAGAGGCTATAATGATTGTGTGCAGGGCAGGATGGAGAAAGGCAAGGCCCCTTGTCCCAGGGAAGCTGAAGTCCAGCGTCTATTCCTGTCCTACGCCTCGGGGCAGACCATTTTGCCTGCCAGCGCCATCGTCAGGTTCCTCAACTTCGAACAGGTGGAGCTCACAGCCAATGAAGAGACGGCAGAGAGATTGATTGCTATGTATGAGATTGAAGAGACAGGTAAGTGAAGAGAGAGCTGTGTACCATGTCAGGCTGCTTGCTGCTCATTACTATGGGTAAAGAAAACCCCCTTACTCTTTAAGGGCTAATCATGTAATTATGCTTATTTGGTTAAAACAGAAGTCAAGGCTTTAGCTCCGGTGGTCCCAGGCTGACAAAGTGAGTTCTCTAAGGCAGGGGGGTTGAATTGACAGAAGGAAAATATAAGAGTACGGCACGTCAGCGGACTAATTGACCAGATGTTGTCTAGGGCTCAGTGTGCACCCTCACAAACAGCAAAACACAAGACAGGGAAAACACAAGACTGACAACTAGTCCGTCCTCACTTTACTTTCACTTCATGGTATAGTCTTTGAGTAAGCGAGGCTTCTGAAGAGCAGTTTTCAGTTTTTCCAACACCTGTACTGTAGCAGAATTACTCTGCATACTATTTACTTGAGCAACTACATTACCTGAATAGAGAGGAGGTTGTTTTCTTTTAATAGCAGCATACTTGCAGAAACAAAACTGCTGAATGTAAAAGCAGCTTCACAAGATTTAATCTCTAGGTTTAGCACATCTCTAGCAGTGAGGACAAAACACACCTTTTTCACAGTAGACATTTTGACTTGTCGTAGAGGAAACGGCACAGGTGAAAGAAATGTTGTTAAGGATGGAGCAGTACCATCAAGTGTCCCAGTTAGCTGTGACTAGTTTAGGTTGCTCATCTTTGGGACTGATTATTCAGTTGGACTAGTTTTATAACCCCAGACTAAGTCTAGCCTACTTATTGTGTTTTTAAATGTCACTTTCATCTTGACTTGATCCTTAATGTAATATTAATGATGATAGTAACACAGTAACCTCTACGAAGTAGCTATATTTTGTTGGAGCAAGTTAAAGGTGGTCACTATAATAACATCTCAACAGCTCTTGGATGAATTGCAGTGACATTTTGCCCAAAAGATGAATTCCAATGATTTAGGTAATCCCCTGACTTTTCACCTGGCATCATCAGGTTGGTTAATGACCAAATTAATACCAGCAAAACTGATGACAATTCAAACACCCTCAGCTGTGATTTGTTTAGTGCTGATTAGCAAATGTTGTCATGCTAACATGCTAAGCTAAAATATCTGCTAAACATAGCATGCTCATTGGTAAGGTACAATAGGATGCAGCCTCACAGAGCCACTAGCATGACTGTGGACTCTGAGCCTGGATTCACTGGAGTTGTTTTAACTTTTTAACATGAGGAAAAGAGCTTTTGCTTGAGTTGGCTAGTGTAGTCCACTCTTTAAACTTTTTTGTTTAGCACTTGGTAGAATAGCCAATGCTGATTTTGAGTGTCACTGACAGTGTTACTCTGCTCCTTCTTCCTCTTCCAGCCAGAGAAAGTAGGTCCATGACATTTGGAGGTTTCATGAGGTACATGGAGTCCAAAGACTGCTGCGCGTTCAACCAGGCCCACACGTCTCTTTACCAAAACATGGACCAGCCTCTCACCAATTACTTCATCTCGTCATCACACAACACCTACCTGACCGGAGATCAGCTAATAGGAAAGAGCCACCTGAATGCCTATATTTGGTAAGTACAGTGAAAACAGTACAGCTTGTGGTCTTCTTCATGATGCAGCGCTTCAGAAAAACACCCCACTTCCAAGGAAACAATTCCCCACATGACTGAATTGCACATAGGTGTAATTACACTTGCAAATTAACCAACATCAACTTATCTGCTGAATCTTTATATCTAATTAATCTGCTATTTAACGTGGGTCAGGAAAACCCAGATAAGGCCAATTTAAACATCATTTAAATTGGTCACCCCTCAATACACTTTGACCTTCTCTCTAAAGTCTCTTCCCCAGACTTATATGTGTGTGTTGTCAGGATTCTCTCATTTCATTGACCCACTCGTGTGCTGAGGCACAGGGAATTTGCTGTGGTCCCTTTATGGGACCATGAAAGTGATTACAAAAGGGGCTGATGACAGCGGAAGGGATGAAAAATGGAGCTAGAGTCAGGTCATCGTTAGCTTAGCTTAGCATAGAAACACTCATGTCTGTGCATGAAGGATGGAGCTAGAGTCAGGTCATTGTTAGCTTAGCTTAGCATAGAAACACTCATGTCTGTGCATGATGGATGGAGCTAGAATCAGGCTATTGTTAGGTTGCAAGAAAATATATAATTGCCCCACCCCACTTTTTCACAACCAAAACAACAGAATAAAAAAGCAATATCTTATAACACCAAGACACGTTCTGTACTATATATATCTGACCATATTTGATTTGATAAAGAAAGCACAAGTGGAAATGTAACAGCACCATTTGAGGAGCAGATCAGATTCACTGAGGTAGAAGAAGCATTTGGATTAAATTAGTAGAATGCTATGTTTTCTATAAATCATTCACATGTATTACATACATTACACTGTATATAATACACAGTAATGTGTCAATTGTATGGGAGTGGTTATGATGGCTTGAACTCAGTTTGTGTGTCAACGCTACACTTCTAATTTCTCATGCAGCACATTATAAGCGCTTATCGTAGCCTTGCCACAGCTCAGTGTGTGTGCATGTGTCTCTGTCTGCCTGCATGTGCTCATCTGTGTGTCTTTCTGCGGCACAGTGCTCTGAAAGAAGGCTGTCGTTGTATCGAGATTGACTGCTGGGATGGGCCAGATATGGAGCCCATAGTCCACCATGGCTACACCCTAACCACGAAGTTACTATTCAAGGACGTCATCGCCACTGTGGAGCAACATGCCTTTGAGGTAAAAGCTTGTAGTGCGTTACGTGACATATTCTAGAGTAGTGTTCGCTCCTGCCTCCTTAGCCGCCAGGAGTCGTAATGATCGTAATGCTTTGCTTGCAAGTTATCTATGATTTAGGCCATTCTCTGTGATGTGCCGAGAGAATTTAAAGCCTGCAGAGAGAGAGCAGTAGATCCAGGATGATGATAATTGCTGGAAATAGAGTTTAAATCATGATTATTTTTGATGTGATTATTTCTTTACAGGTGTCTGCTTACCCGGTGATCCTGTCAATTGAAAACCATTGCTCCAAGGAGCAACAGGAGGTCATGGCCAAGTGGCTCATCTCGATCCTGGGGGAAAAGCTGCTGAGATCTCCCTTGGATCAGCCAACCACTGGGGACCTCCCTAGCCCCAATGTAAGACTCAGAAAAGAGAGATTTTGACTGTCTGAGTGGTGAATCAGAACCAGGATCTGCGATTAATGTTAGAGCTGCCGGTGCAGGCAGAGGCACGACAGTGTTTGTATATGTATAAATCCTCATCGGCTGTCATTGCAAAGCAAAGCAAGGAGGAAATGAGACCTTTCGGTCGTCACAAAAGGCCTCATTAGTCTCTTTCTGAGGCTTCCTGTGCCTCTCTCCTCCACTGGGACAGAGGTGTAACTGGATGCCTGCATTTGCAAGCCTCTTTAATCTCTCAGAGATTTGCAAAATCAAATGTGATGCGGTTGATCCTGAGAAGTGCCCATCCTTTTAAGCATGCTGAGGCACTTGAGCTGATTGTTCGTTTAGATTACCCTGTTTGGGTTCTGATTTCTCCAATGAAAGCGCTGCATAAACCCTCGACTGAGCGACTGGCCTGAGAGACGCTGGCACCGTCTCTACATTCTATTGAAAATGACGAGGAGGATGAAGGCTTTTTCTCTGAGAGTGGATGGATGTGTGCTGTCTCGCTGGAATTTCTTGCTGCCTCAGACTTCTTACTGCTTTGGAATTTATGGCAAGAAATGAGATATGTTTTATCTTGAGTGTGCATATAAGATTTTCTTCCCCATATCGTTCTTTATCTTTATGACTCAGGAAGCGGGGGCTTAGATAGGAGCCTCAGCACTAATGGTTTCATCTTGACTATTAACCCCCAGCAACTTGAATACTGAATCAGTGTTCATGTGTCACACCCATGCAGCTTCACACCCAAGTTACCATCCAATTACGAAAGTGTAACCACTATGCAATCTTTAAAAACTTTTCATTACCTTATACTCCACTCTGACCCTTTAGATCAAAGGCTTCGAATCAGTTCTTACTCTTTTTTTACCATAAACATGGACACATTTTAATCCTAAATTACAGCGAGAGACGCAAAGCCTCTGATCTAGCTCTCCAGACTGTATAGTTTTGTGCAACAGCAAGGAAAAATTAAAGAGTGCTGTGCCAAAGGAAGCCATGAAGCTTATAATTACTGTAGTATTACTTAAATACTACATACGACTCAGAGTTTGCTTGACTGATGCAACTGTGCGATGGTGAATGTAGGTGCCATGATGAAGAAGGTACTTTTGCATTTATTCATGTGTGAATTCATGCATGTTTGTGCATTTGTGGGGATACCAGGACCTGAAGTATAAGATCCTGGTCAAAAATAAAAAACTAAAGGCTGAAGGCGCAGCAGGGACAGAGGCAGAGGAGAACACAGATGAGGGCGAGGATGAGGATGATGATGAGGATGAGGAGGAGGAGGAAGAGGATCGTCAAAACAAGGCAAAGTTCTGGTCTCCCAGAAAGGCGAGGTCAAAGAAGAAAGTAAGTCAGTTAGATTTAGGAGCAGATTTCTATACTGTTTGGAGATTCTGTACGGATATAGTTGAATGTACGCTGCAAGATGATGGGACAGGAAGGTGAAGCTTTGCTCTTTGGAATTTCAACAGCATTTGTTGCTATTTGGTGAACACTCTTTTTGGTTTGTCTTTCTCTCCACCCTAAATGTAATAAGCATAGGAAGAAGGTGGCGGTGGCAGAGGCTCTATCTGACCTGGTTGTGTACACAAGGTCTGTGAAGTTCATCAGCTTCAGACATTCAAAGGACAAGCAGAACTTCAAAGAGAACACATCCGTGGCAGAGAAGAAAGCTCGCAAGCTAGCCAAAGCCTCTGGTAAAATGTTATGTATGGATAGTTGAAACTGTGGGAAGAGATTGCAGATAATTGCAGATATCACAAAATCTAATTCTGATGAGCCCAGCAGATTCACATGATTTATAATCACACTGAGCTCAAAGGACAAGTCTCAGTAGGTCCTCGTTGGACGAGAAATGCAATCACATCTTGCACCATAAACCTCCATAATAGCGAAAGCATATTGAACATGACATATACGACATAGGGGAGTACTTTGTAGGGAATAAAGCACAACAGCACAGGTCCAGAAATGTGCCTCCAACCACTGTTGGAGAAGTGGAAAGAGCCCACAGAAGTTTAAATCAACTGATAATCAGGTAAACTGTCATCGCGCTTCTGGGCGGCAGTATATTGAAGAAACAGTGATGTAGCGAAATGAAATCGGAGGAGTGACACTTTCCAGACACACAGCTACATCATGAGCTTGTTGCCTTGGCTGTATAGTCTCGACTATACTGTAAAAAGTGTGTCGGCCCTTGTCGTCCTCGGGCCCTGCAGGGAAACTACACAGCAATGGCACGAGTCCACACAGACTGAAGCTGTGAGCCTTTTTGTAGTCTATCCAGAATAAATAATTATTCAGGCTTCAAAAGGTGATCACGACAAACAGTTCACCTTTTCAGGTCATGAAATTTACATTCCACATTAGACTAACATACCATAGAAATTGGTGAATCTTCCCTATAGGATCCTATTTTAGGTAATATTTTGAATAAAAGCAACTCTTCAGTAAAAAACATTCGGGAACATTGAAATCTGACACTATTAAAAAGTGACCACGTCCCTGCAGATAAACCCAAATGTTTTTCTTGATCACTGCATCAAACAGACACTGAGTTAGACTAAAATGTACAGCATCACAACCATGACATCTGTGAAGTTTGAATCAGTGGACTTTCTGATTAACCAGTGTGAGTCAAAGGAGACATGTGACCTGTGAGTGTTGTGCGTCCTCTCACTCAGGAGCAGATTTTGTTCAGCACACGCAGAAGTTCCTCAGCAGGATTTACCCAGCGGGCACGAGGACGACTTCCACCAACTACAACCCTCAGGAGTTTTGGAACGTCGGCTCACAGCTCGGTGAGTCAGAGAGGGCGAGTATACGCCTGTCTGTGCACGCACACACACACACACACACACACACACACACACACTTATTTAGGCACAGGAATCTGAAATAATATTTCAATTTTGGTCAAAACACCAATTCAGAAAAAGACATGAAGCTTTCTCTGGTTTTCTTGTGTCAGTAGTTCTCGGCACACACTGAACAACCACCACAATCCATTACAAGCTTTTGAAATGGAGAGAAATGCAATTGGGAAACTGAAATTGTCAAACTTCAGAGGGAACAACCTGGCCAAGTGTCCTGTCGATTAGCAGTGAAAAGAACATTTCATTCCAGTCCACAGCCTGACCACCTCATCGGTGATTTCCCCGGAGCAAGTCCTCTCCTGGTCCTTATCACACAGTTTCTAAATCGAGTTGCCCCCCCCCCCCCCCAAATATGTTTTTCTCTCTCTTTTTTAACCACATCCCTGTCTGGGTCACAGATTATAAAAAGATTTTCGTTTTCACTTCTTAGTCCAGCATGAGCATTGGGCTTGACTGGGCTTGACATATCACTATACCGTTGCTCCGGAGAGTAACTATTCTTCAGAAAAAACATTCATAAGGTTTACATCGTCACGCCTCCCGGCAATACGTGAACATAAAGTCACGACCCTGATCTGTCTGGCTCCGTCACTTCGTCTGTCTTTACACATCCTCCTTATCCGTCTCCATCACTCAGTCGGCCAGCCACTGACTCTGACACGAAGCCCTGCCGATGGCTGAGCAGATTGTCTATGTGCTTCGGTGGCAGCTGTGCAGATGGTGAGCGGCACTTTTCACAGTTGCAGGGGACTGCGGTAAAAAAGCAGCAGCCTGGAAAGATCAATTACAGTTAGATGAGCAGAACATGGGACCCTGTGACATACACATATATTAAAAGAAGCAGAAAGATGCATTGCAGTGTGTTGGTTAGGACAAAATGAAAGGTGTTTTGCATTATTGGTCCCTGTTATTGCAGACCCTGACACATCCTTTTTTGTCTGACAATCTATTCATATGTCTGAAATGTAACTGAAAACATGATATATGCAGCACACATGCCAACAAAGAGCTTTGCACTGTTGAATGTGTCCCTGATGCAATGTACGCAATTGTTGGGAAACATTCCAAGTCAATATATAATTTATCTCCCTCCTGCAGAATGAACATGATGCCTTAGAACACAGAAGGTATGCAGGAGATAATCTCATGCTGCCCGTTTTATTTGAACAAGCTTTCGGCATTCGCAATTTTGTTCTTGTAAAAAAAAAATGTTGTCACAGCTATAGCTCCTCATTTTCATTGTTCCAAACATTGTCCCGCGGTGTGTTGCAGTGGCTCTCAATTTCCAAACTCGGGACTTGCCTATGGACCTTAATAATGGCCGTTTCCAGGACAACGGGGGCTGTGGATACGTCCTGAAGCCGGCGGTGCTCGTGTCCAGTCAGAGGAGCTTTGATCCCAGCTGCAGCCAGCGCAGCGTCAAACCCACAACCCTGATGCTCAAGGTACAGTTCAGGACCACTGAACGCTGAATAATCCACTCAGGGTGGATTTATGGATTAAGGTGTAATGTTACAGGGCTGTGTGTGTGCTTTATGTGCATGCATGAGTTTGTCTATGCCTCACAATATACAGGTTGTGTAGAAGAGCTCATCTTACTCTTAGCCTCCAGATACATGCTTTCCTGCCGGATGCTGTGAACCAACAACAACGTAAATCTCCCTGAGATAGTCTCCGTTTAATTAGATTACCTCCTTCAGAAAGTAAAGGGAAAGGAGACGGGTGATCCAATGTAATTAGACCCGGGTGCGTTTAATGAATCCTTTTATTTTCCATTCTTTTGTTAGCGGACACTTGTAATGTACTGCATCCAAGTCACACGGCAAAAGATGAATGAAGCTGTAGAGAACAGTCACATCTTTTTGCCATCAGGACGAATGTCACAGACTCACTCTTCTAAGTCCAATTACAGAGATACAAGAGTTTCCTCTTATGTAGAACATAATGGTGGGACTCGAGAGAGATATCGTAGGCTTTGTACTGCAAAGACAATATGTGGAATTGCCTGGGATCACATGGGACTCACTGCAGAGGAGGTAGACAAGGGAACATCTTACTCTCTCATCTTAGTCTTATGAACAGCAATGAATCATTTAAACTGACTGCATATGGGTTTATGATTTTCAAAAAGACTCAGTCGTGGATTATTTCCTAAATTAAGCTCAGTCAGTATTGCAGCTGTTCTAAATGTCACCTGCTGTTACACCGGCTATATCCTTTGCTTTAAAGCCCTATAATACAGTATTTAATTCTACTATAATTCTTGTTTTTTGCTGTTGTCTGATGAAGGAAATGAATCTTGATCAGACAATAGCTCATGAGGATGGATGAGCACATCAGACATTGTCTTCTAAAGGAGGATGCACACACACGCACACACACAGTACACCATCCGAGCACAGTGCATGAAATATAAATGTGGTGCGCTCCGTTTTTTTGGGTGCCCCGGGAGACACCCTACCTATATTTATTCACATCACCATTCTGTATTATTTGATCACTTCAGGGAAAATCCTGCAATCTTGACTCAGCTCTCAACTCAGCGGAAATAGGAGTCACGAGTAGTGTAACTCAGAAAGGGTTGAGTTTTCAATCTTTAAATTATTCATCTGCTCAGAAAAACAATATTTCCCCTTGAGCTCTCATGAGTCTATTTAGCATAAAACTGTCAACTACTAGCAACGGTTTGTTTTTCAATAGAGAATCTTGCAATGACAACTCCAAACTGTTCTATACGTACTATGCATACGTTCTATACATTGTTACAGTGAATGAGCATAATGCAGGGCGTGCAGTAGCATGACTTTATCAAGGAAAGACTGTAATTTTGGGCCGGACACTGTAAAGCTCCATCAGTGCCAAACGGTGCATGTCGTGATAAGTACATGCAGGTTTGTCTTTGATCAGAGCAGGGGAAGGGACGGCTCAGTGTGAGAGGAGTGCAGATAAGCCTGCCTCTCTCCAGACTAGTGTAATTACAGCCCTCTCCCCCTCTCTTCTTTTCTCTACTCTTACTGGCTCTCCGGTTTTCTCTTCTCTTTTATATTTCCTGTTATCAATTACATTCTCATACACTCCCTTTGTGACCATCAGAAATGCATCTCTGTGTGTCTATCTGCAGGTGATTAGTGCATCCAACCTTCCCCTTTCCAGGAGTGGCAAAGCTCTGGACTCCTTTGTCAGAGTGGAGATTCATGGGATTGCATCTGACTCGTGCAGAAATAACACACATATTGTCAAAAACAACTGTAAGTACTATAAGACCAATTGCATGTGGCCTTGTTCTCGAGATAAAGCTTGACTGGCCCAGCTAACTTTTACTTTAATCATTCCAAGATGTATTTTGTCAGAGTTAACTGAGCAGTTTAACTTTCAATTTTCTAGAAACTAAGAATTACAGAAAGCATGAATTTCTGAGATCCTATCCGAAGCTCAAATGAGTTGTGTGGGCATCGTGGGCCAACAGTCCTGGAGGGTACAGAACACTTATGCATAGGCATAAATCATAAAATCATTTCACGCTATGAAACCGATAAGGTCACTGGTGAATACAAAGTAATGTGGACTTAGAAGGAAATTTGGATGCAACAGAGGAACATGAGAAAATTGTTTGGAATCAGAAATGGATTGAAAACTGCAGCAGAGGTGACTCTTTAGTTATCTACGTGTGCTCTCTTCATTTGTCGCTATACAATTGCAAACAAATGGCACTTCATGTCATGCATCATCTCATCCTGATAGGATGCTGCTGTGGATCGGATATTCATTTATTTACTCGATCGATGTCAGTTGTCGGTCAGCTCAACACTTTGGTCCAGACTGACTCGGAGACATTCAGTCCCCTCCAGGATGAATTGTAATAACTTTGTAAATTGTCTGACTTTTCCTCTAGTTCTGGTGCCACCACCAGGTCAGATTCTTTGTGTAATAGAAAGAAAGAAACCCTGCAGTATCAGCTTTTCGAAACAAGCTGAACACAACACTGATCATCCTGTAGAGATGACAACACCTTTTGACAAACAGTTGCCTATTAACACATCCACTTAAGACTTAATTAATTAAATCTAATTACCATTACAGCTCTGAATCCTCACTGGAATACTACCATGAAGTTCAGCATCAGTGTCCCCGAGCTCTGCCTCATCCGCCTCTGTGTCCGTCAGCAGACCGGCTTCTTCAGCAGCGATTTTGTGGGCCAGTACACCCTGCCCTTCACCAGCCTGAAGAAAGGTGAGCCACAGAGGCAGAAAGAGCCACAGAGTGGGGGGGGGGGGGAGTTGGGAGTCAGACAAATTACATCAGGTGACATTGTGCGACCATCGTTGTATTTCCCTTCATAGACAGTGTCAGCATTACTGAAGGTCGGTCTCTGCTCTGTGCTCGAGTTTCACTTCTGCGTATCTTGTAATTAGCGGCTATACATACATTTCTTTTCACGCCCCCCTTCCTTTTCCACCTGCAGGCTACCGCTGGGTGCCTCTCCGATTCCGAGACAGATGCAGCCTGGATCCAGCCTCCCTCTTCGTCTTTGTTTGGCATGAATAAAAACAGCTCTCTATATGTCTTAAGGACATAAAAACCTGGATGACCTGCAACTTCCTAATGTTAAACTCAGACAAAACTGAAGTTATTCTACTAGGCCCAGAACACCTCCGAAATCAATTATCTAATGATAAAGGTTCTCTAGATGGCATTTCCCTGACATCCAGCAGCACCGTAAAGAATCTCGGAGTTATCTTTGATCAGGATTTGTCTTTTAACTCCCAGATAAAACAAACTTCAAGGACTGCCTTTTTTCACCTACATAACATTTCAAAAATCAGGCACATCTCGTTTCAAAGTGATGCAGAAAAATAAGTTCATGCGTAGACTAGATTACTGCAATTCCTTATTATCAAGCTGCTCAAATAAGTCTCTTAAATCTCTCCAGTTGATCCAGAATGCTGCAGCCCGTGTACTAACAAAAAAAGAGAACATCTTACTCCTGTATTAGCTTCTCTGCACTGCCTCCCTGTAAAATCTAGAATATAATTTAAAATCCTTCTCCTCACCTACAAAGCTCTAATTGGTCAGGCACCAACATATCTTAAGGAGCTTATAGTGACCATATTATCCTACTAGAGAGCTGCGCTCCTTGAATTCAGGGTTACTTGTGGTTCCTAGAGTCTTCAAAAGTTATCAAGCTCCTCTTCTGTGGAACCAGCTTCCCGTTTCAGTCCGGGGGGCAGACACACTCAGCACATTTGAGAGTAGGCTTTATACTTTCCTTTTTGATTGTGCTTAAAGTTAGGGCTGGATCAGGTTTGCCTTGGACCAGCCCTAGATATGCTGCTGTAGGCCTAGACTGCCAGGGGACTTCCGAGGATACACTGAGCTCCTCTCTCCTCTTCTTCATCTCCTTCTGTATGAATTCATGTGACATTAATGCTCATTACTAACTTTGCTTCTTCCCCGCAGTCTTTGTGCTTTCTCGCCTCACAGGTTCCATGGATCGTGGTTATATCTGGACCCTGGTCCTTCCTCCCGCCATGGTCCTGCTGATACCTTCTGCTGCTATCATTTTTTTATTATTAACATTATTAATATTAATTATATTACATTAATGCACATTACTGACTTTGCTTCTTCACCGGAGTCTCTGTGCTTTCTCGTCTCGCAGGTTTGGATCCTGGTGATACCTGGACCCTGGTCTTGCCTCCTGCCGTGATTCTGTCAGATGCATTGGATGTGTTGTAACTCTGTTATGTTGTTCATTGTGTACAAATGACATCTATTGCACTTCTGTCCATCCTGGTAGAGGGATCCCTCCTCTGTTGCTCTCCCTAAGGTCTCTCCCTCTTTTCTCCCCATTAAAGGTTGTTTTTGGGGGAGTTTTTCCTGTTCCGATGTGAAGGTCCCGGGACAGAGGATGTCGTATGTGTACAGATTGTAAAGCCCTCTGAGGCAAATTTGTGATTTTGGGCTACACAAAAATAAATCTCTCTCTCTCTCTCTCTCTCTCTCTCTCTCTCTCTCTCTCTCTCTCTCTCTCTCTCTCTCTCTCTCTCTCTCACAGATAGAGAAGCATGGCTGATGCAGCAACAACATCAACAAAAATATATAAATAAATCAAAAGCACCATTTCCTCAGATATAAATACCAGATTTATTGTCAGAAAATAGACATGCTTTTTTTTCTCCACTGCGGAGGAAAAAGACCAGCAGGAAGAATAACTCTCTGCTGGCATCACTCAAGTAGTGGAGAAATCCCTGGAGTCGGATATTAGATTCTCATCATCAAATGAATAATTGATGCAAGTGCAATTATTGTGGCAGAGTTGATCACACATAAGAGAAACCACGAGACAGTGTTGTTTCTGGATTTATCATCTATTCCAAAACAATAGATGTAATTCTTCTATTAGATCTGAAACTGATGAGCACTACTATGAAAGAGTAGCAGCCAGCATTTTCTTCCAAGCCTACCTCCTCGTGAGAGACCCAGCAGGGAATAATATAAATAGCATTCACAGAGGTATACATTATTGAACCAAATGGAGACTACTTCTATCCTCGTTCATCACTAAATCCTATGAATGAGGCGGAGGAGAGTACGGGTCAGCGGGCCTGTCAGGAGTAAGATGGTGTTAAGATAACACGAAGACCTGCCTTAGCCTAGAAAGTGTGTGTGTATGTTTTTTATACCAGAGTATTTGTGAGGGCATGCGAGTGTCTGCCTTTTCCTGTTTGCACATGCATGTGCATAGCTGTGTGTGAATGCCACTGATGGATAAGACAAAAGGATGGAGTGATGGGGAGAGTGTTACCTCAGCCCCTCAGGCTGGAGAGGCAGAGTTGTCATCCTGCTCACACACTCTCCTCACCCCTCTCCCTCGCTGTCCTGCCTCCCGCCTCCAATTCCACTGGTCAAGGACATCCAGTTGACACAGCCCAAAGGGACGAACACACCGAGTATGAGCAGGTATCAGACAGGCAGCCCCTAACTGCACTGCATCGCCTCCTCTTTAATCTCTCACATCGACAGTCCCGACCACACACACACACTTCCAAGGACTGTTTAGAAGTTAAAGTACAAACAGGAGTGCAAATACGATAATACGATTTCTTTCCTTCATCCATCACCAAGTTCACATCTAAAAATGGGACTAATTAGCAAAACTCCTTCATTTGATTGACATTTTAAAAATAAACACACATGGTAAATGATGCTTCATACAGTAAACAGTCTCCTTCCCTGAGTTGTTTTACTCAGTCTTGTAACGTCATCTAAATACACCATCCAATGCCGGCATATTTAGCTCTGGAGTGAGGTTAAGTTGCGTCTGATGAATAAGTATAAATTAGAGTGCACACTTCCTCTGCTCAGGTGACTTTTTCTCAGTCATTGGGAGAGAAATCTTTGGATTGATTGTGTCCCTCGGTGTGGCTGCACCCTCTGCTGGCAGCAGACAGACGGTGCAGCTCTCTGAGGTCAGATTGCACAGTTCCCGAGGGGAAACCACATCTCCTTGTCAAGCAACACTTCCTCCAGTCTGATGTTGGTTGCAGCCACAAAAGTATTCTTGCTCTTCACTGTCACTTCCAGCACCATCCCATACAGCAGTGGGACGGAATTGTACTCCAACTGTGAATAAGAGGCAGATATTTTAGCTATCAAAACAGTTTAACGTTCAGAATTTTTCTGCTGTGCAGTTTGGCTTTTATCTGAAATTTCTGTCAAATTTTTTTTCCGTTTCCTTCCTTTTGGCTTTGCGAAGGCTTCTCTGTGCAACATTAAAAGATTGTTAAGAGGCTGTTAAGTATGCGGGAAGCTTCTGTTCAGAGTCTGCGGGGTTTAACACTCAAAGATCAGACTCACAGCGGGGAGCAGCGCCGCAGGCAGAGCACACATTAAACACTCACTCCAACTTTGTGTGATTTTCACTTTTGAAACTTTGACTGACAGCATTTCATCTCAACATGGACCGGATATACAAAACAAATTTGGGAAAAATACACATTCTCATAATAAAAGAGCATTTAGAAATGTGAATTATGGTGAAATTATGTGAGGCCATTGTGGGAATCCCTGTTCTGTTGCTCTTCCTTCTCTGAATCGAGGGTCTGATGGAGGGTTTGCTGTAAATCTCTTTGAGGCAAACTTGTAATTTGGGGCTTTAAAAACATAAATGACTTGACATTGTCAGTATGTACTGTCCTGCATAGAAGCTGAGAAAGTATTTATTCTAAAACAACCTAAATGTTTAATTTTATTACCGCACTATTGTAAATTACTGTGGCTTTTTTTTCCAAAGGAAGTTAGAAAGAACGTTTTTTTATTCAATTTACTAAATACTTAAGTTTGGAACTTACTGTATGTGCAAACTAATGTGAACGCTACATGGACTGGCCCTTTAACAAAATCCATGAAAGCATTACTTTCTTAAACCATTAATCTAATGGGAAACCAAAGGATGCTGTGACTGTGTTAAATCATGAAGAGAGGGTGGGAAGGATGGAAGTTGTACCAGCTCATTGAAGGTGGGGTTGTCATTATTTCGGACCACCTTCGTCTTCTTCTTGGAGAGCTGCTGAGGGTCCGGTCTAAGATGCGTGACCACGTAGGCGTCGGGGTTGGCGCCGTTTGCCTGCTTCTGTTTAAAAGAGAAAAAGGGCCAGAAGGGATAGCCTGTACTTAATCACACACTATAACGTATTTACTATGTTTGCTTTCCTCTTGTTGAATGCTACAAACAATGCAATCATAAGAGTGAAGGAAACTCACAATGTTCTTTAGGTGTTTTACCAAGACCGAGAGCTTACAGTCAGAGTAAGAAATGTTGAGCTGGATCTGAGGATGGGCTCCTGCAATAGATCACCGCATCAATGTCAGTAAATCCCAGCATAATATATCTTATACTGTACAGTATATCACATTGTACGGTAAATATTGCCTTTAGCATGACGGCCACTGGGTATGTAAGAGCGAGGTATTACCTGCCACCACACTTTCTGGGACTGTGTTGGGGCCGTCCAGGAACAAGCTGCACACATATTCATTCTGCAAGTGACAGAGCGAGGCGGGTTTGCGGGTTTAGAGGCTCGGCAAACCATGAGATCACTGAGAGAAATCAACAAGTGACAAGAGGAACTTACTCCCTTGCATGGTCCTTCAAAAAGCTGATTCAGGTATGTGTTTAGCAGAGACACCTTCCTGCCCGGGGTGAATGACATCTTAAACCACCTAGGAAACCTATTTGGAGACGAGCATCAAATTATGTTGTTATTGTGGAAGAAAAAAAAGCAGCGTTTCTAATTAAAAATAGCCACATGATGTGCGTTGTATGCGTATATATATTTTTTTCCACTCACTGAGGCAGCTTGGTTTCAATGAAGTGTTTTTGCAGCTGCTTATGGATCAGCTCAAACTGCCCAAATGTCTTCTCCCTGTTCAGAAAACCATCATGAATGGTTACTCTGAGGTCATAGATCTGCAAATCAAACAGAACTAATTAATTAGGTTGTAGGGTGAATATATGAAGAGAGACTGCTGATAACACAGGATCCACTTTGAAGCTCCCATGCAGGTGGAAGCTGCTTTGGTAACTGGTCCGCACTCTTAAAACCTCTTGCAAGAAGGCAGCTCAAGGGAAAGTTTACTCTCAAGGATCTGTAAAGCATCCCCCCTATTGAGAGTTTTAGTGGTCCGTCTATCTTGAGTTAAGAATGTCAGATGCACACAAGTTTAAAAATGTGTGTTTGGACTTTTACAGTGCTTTCTATAATAGAAGGCAATCCTAACCAATCACCTTCTTTGCCATAGTTTTATTTCTAAATATTTTCTCTGTTTAATGTTTGATTTCTGTAATGCATTAGCGGGAGTCCAAATCAAAAACAATGTGGAATTTGTGGATTTACACTGTGCTAACAAAACAGTGGAAAGTAAGAGTTCCCACGTGCTCATTCTAAACGTTCACTGATCAACTGGGAAACCCTTTATTTACGCTACCTTTACATAAACACCTGAGTGCATGATACTTGTGAATCTGAGAAACAGGGCAAATGTCTTGTTGACTTAAGGTGCTCCATCCTCAGTCCAGAACGGCTAAATCTGACACCAGAAGACTTCATCTGATCAATGAGCAGTGAAATGCCGACAAACATCAGTAGGCTAACACTCTTCACTCTCACTCCTCACCACATCTTTTCCCCTGCTCGTGTATCCCTGGATGACAGCTTCTTGGATGTTGGTGCTGGGACCGGGGATGCTGACCCGCCTTGGTGGATCTTGTTTCTTCCCTTGAGCCATGCTGTGTGTCAGGAAGTTAAACTTGACTGCCACACAGCCCATGCTCTCCTTGATCTTCCTGCAGCAGGAGGGACACAAACCGTTACTATAAGAATCTGATTAATACAGCGGCAGAAATAAAATGGGGGATATTTTGAAGATTTTGTTTAGTAAGAGAGAGGCCGTGTGTTTGTGTGTGCATTAAATTACTTTGTAAAGTAGGAAGTGGCCTCCAGGTCTGTGTCATGAGGTCTGAGGTTGTTCTGGACATACTGCAGGTCATTAGAGTGCTTCAGTTCTGGCATTCGTGCATGTAGCATCTGGAAACCACGCGAATGAAAAGGTGCTTATGTTACATTATCTATTCTCGGATATAGCTAGGAGGTTATTACCGTGATGATGCTATTCAGTAAAGGCCTTACCAGCTCCAACAAGCTGAGTATCAGTGCAGAGCGCTTCCTGATCATGTTGTAAGCTTCACAGCAGAGCTCCACAAAGCGATGCAAGCGCTGAGGCTTCTGCCCCCCTTCTGTGATGAAGTGCTGCATCTCAGAGGTAAAGATGAATGGTGATCGGTCCCTATCATTGGAGGAAAAGAGCAGGGGAAGGTTCTTGACTTTATACTTTTCTGTATCTCCTAAATGCCACTCTTTTCACTTTTTTAAAGTAGCGCTCGACTTTTTATTCACTTGCCTTTTAAAGCTTCCGAACTTCTGTGCGTTGCCCATGATCTTGCCAAAGTCGATATGAAACATGTGTCCACTGTGCTTCAACATGATGTTGTCATTGTGGCGGTCACAGATCCCCAGGATGAAGGTGGCCACACACCACCCTGCACACGAGTGGATGAAGTTCATTACAGCCTGCACATTCACAGTAGGAGAGTGTTACACAATGCAACAAACACAAGTGAATGTTCAAGTGTACGGTCCAGCATAAAGGGTAAGTTTTTCTAGTGGTCCTAACCTTCTCATAGTCCTCCTTAGTTTTGTTCCACATGTGGAACCATTTCTCCAGTGTGTCTTCTCGAAGGGTGCCACCCAGACCCCACTCCTGCTGAATCTGCCCTAGAGTCACTGCATCTGGAACCACTTCCACCAGGCCTGACAAGCCACACAGAATACAGTATATGGGAATAAAATGAATGCACAGCCCCAGAGTTAGCTTGTAAGGCAAGGACATTTTTAATGTACATTAAAAAACACGAACAAGTCCACTGACCCTGAGCTCTGCCCGTAGAAAGACACCTGTAGGTGATCATTTGCAGGTCCAGCCCGTCCTGTAGCCAAACGCCGTTCATCACACCGACTATCTGAAGCATCAACATGTCCTGACGCAGGTCATCTCCTGTCTGAACAACACATTCAACAGAGTAATGTAAAAACAACAAAGTACCCCTTTAATGAGACTACTGACACTGCTAAATATTTTCCTATGCTGATTTCTGAAAGCAGGATTAGAGTCTCTGCAGGCTGAACATCTTCTCTTTACTCTTTGGAAACATTTTTGTGAATAAAACCTGCACCATAAACACAGCAGAACCGTTACAGCAATTTTAGGGGCATTTATTATGCCGACTTAGAAAACTCGTTGCAGCAAACCTCAAAGACAAAAGTGAGACAAATGTAGAAGAAGAACATTGAAATGTTCTTGCATGAGGCCCAGTGTGGATCAATAAAGCAACATATTATTACCAACCTTGCAGATGACACTGATGTTTTTGGCCAGAGGGTCAGAGCAGATGAATGAGATCCCAAGAGGAGCAGCGTTGGAGTTGTAAAACTTACAGGCCTGCAAGTCACACATCAGAGGAGTAAACTCTCCAAAATCCAAAATCACTGTGTGCATATTAAACTGTATGCTGTACAGATTGTAAAGCCCTCTGAGGCAAATTTGAGATTTTGGGTTATACAAAATAACTTGAATATTAGATGAAGGTAATGAAATGTGTTGGGTAATGTTCTATATATAAAAAAGTTATTATTACATCCAGGTCCAATGCCTTTACACGGAGTGCAGGATCCAGTGGCAGACAACAACTGATCCCATCTCTGAAGAAGTCATCAATCTTTAATTTTTGTTTGTTCAAAACATTCTGCAGAAAAACACATAAAATGAAAGAGCTAAGATGCATAGTTGGTTATAACAATGGAGGATTATGAGTATACATTTGTAGATGAGAGATCTGTTTACAAACCTTACGGTGAGCCTCTTTAGCGGTGTGGACCTTCTCAGCCACCTGTACGAGCACAGACACCAGGCGGGTTTCGTGCTCCAGCTCCTGCCTCAGTGCTCGGCCACAACAGTGCCGCAGGGCAGCCTGGACCTTACTGAACCAACTCTGGTAGTAGTGGTCAGTGTGGGCATCCTCCAGCAGCCTGTCAGCATTTTAAGTAAATAATAAATGACATAATTTGACTGTAAATACTGCAGTGAAAAACACAGCATTAACAACACTACATTCCCACAGTTTGATGTCCGACTCTGCTGCTCACCAGTAGAGTTGATGGGCAATCCGTATGTTCTTCAGTGATCTCTCCAACAGCAGCATCACCAGAGGTCCATCCAACTCCCACTCGCTCTTCAGAGCCTGCAGGACAAGATGTCTGATCCAACTATATTTACACCAATGAGGGATCTACAGAGTGTGCCACCTATCCTCATAGTTAAAATCAGACGGCTTAAACCGATTAAATATCGGTTTGGTCACAGACACAGTAAGGCTGACGAGGAGAAGAATGAGAAGTGTGCAAAGTGTTAATCCCGTTTTGTCACTGGGCGTGTGTAGTAATAGTTAGTGTGCTTACCTGGACCAACTGTGGTAGAAACACCTCTAGCTCTTCATCTGGAATCTGTTCAAAGTAATGAACTGCAGTCCTCCTCACAGTCTGATCATGAAAGCTGTTATAATGAAAACAGATATATTCAGTCACCAAACAAGCTTGTATCATGGTTGTGATAAAAGATGTAATTTTGGGTTATTTGTCTCCTTGTATTGACAAGTTTACTGCCCTACAAAACCACCTTCAAAGAATGAATTACTAAAAGATAACATCAGAGAGAGCATCTTACAGTACATAGTGAGAAATTGTCGTATTGTTGTATGTATTTGTAAAAAAAACAAACAAACCAACATGCAGGGAAGAGAGCGCTGTATTAGGCAAGCATTTTTTAATTGTTTGGTTCCACAGCCTGTCAGTGAAGGACAGAAACAGCCAGAGGGAAACTGTTCTTTTGTGGAAATCAATGAGCATATCGATCCTACCTGGTCACATTCTGCTGCCTTCAGGACGTCCTGTATCGACGTGCTACCTGCCTGTAAAACTAATCATCGTTTCTTCTTTCTTCCCGTATTTATTGTGTGCATTTGTGTTTGAATGGGCCGTCAAACTGAACTGACACACTTGTCCTGCTAGAATGGACAAAAGAGACGCATGATGCGTGGAAAACCGTCATATCATTTCTTTGCATCACCTCCTTGCAACCAATGGGATGGTTGTAAATGACAACACATTACCAGACACACAACAGCTGCATGTTTTCTCTTGGTCCTTGCAGCTTTGCACACTGACGGTGTCCATGTGTCTGTATGGGAACCAGGAGGAACCTACCTGTGACTGAGCAGGAAGAGAGCCTTCTCAGGTAGATGGATGATCCAGTTCTCCACAACAGTGTAGATTTCCGTCAGGTCTTCAGGACACCACTGGGGGACTCCACCCAGCAGCAAGTGGAGAAAAGTACTTCCTTTGTCACTGCTGTGACGCTTACTCCAGAGGAAAGCCTTCTCATTTTCTGTTAGACTGGGGAAGGAGAGAACATCTCAGGAGTGAGTTAACGGATACAAACAGCGAGAGATGTGTAGTCAGGCATGTATGGTTTTTATCTTTGTGTGTCTTGCTCCATGTTGTTGTTGGTTTTATTATTGCTACTGCAGCAGAACCAATTGCCCCTCGGGGTTAAAAATAGTCTTGAACTTGAGAACAAAGGATTAGAAAATCTCCCTTTCGAAATGAAAAGATGATGTATGTCCAAAAATATAAAACTTTGAACACAGCACATATACATACATACAGTAGTTCTTAACATGTGTGGCATTTTCTTCTACTCACAAGCAGAGACAGTGCTTCTTAGAGACTTCCAACATTTTCCTCTGCAGTTCCTCACAAGGCTCACTAAATATGACCGAACCGGGGAGGGCGATGGGCCTCTGATACTTCCACTCGAACTGATCTAGAAACTCCAGCTGGGGAAAGATGAGAGGACGAATGTTTGAGCAGGTAATGGGATGTTGTTTGTCTTTTTGTCAGCAGGCGGCAGAGTTGTCCAGTGTTACTGACCTGCAGAATGACTCCGATGGCTTTCCTGTGGCCGTCGAACAGGGCAGGGGAGGGAGGGACAGGCAGCTCGCTCAGTGTGGACAAACTGAGCAGAACGGTCCCCTTTACCAGAGTCCTAGACACACACACACACACACACACACACACACACACACACACTACGTCACTAATTATACCGTACAGAATCTTGACAAGATGGTGTAAACGGTGTGGACAACCTACCTGTCGCTGTAAAGAGGTAGTACAGCCCAGCCTAAAAGCTCGGAACTCTTGCCTCGCTTGGAGGCCTTGAGGCGAAATGTCAGCATGCACTCGTATGGCAGCTTATTAACTAGAATAGGAAACACCATCCTAAAATCATAAAAACAGACATGAACATGTGCCTTTTTTCCTCAGCCATCTATTTATGTTAAATGTTTGTATACACTTTTTTTGTTGACTCTTATCATTTTCTACTATTGCTCACATGTATCAAAAAGAACTGATTATTTCTCATACATACACTTATGATGGCATCAGTACAAAAGAGGACAACAAACTGTCTTAAAGACGCTGAATCTAGCTTCACTTCTTCATCAATGACAATGCGATTCTTCTGGGAATAGTGAAGAGGAAGTTGAATGTGATATAATTTACAGTTCTCTACAGGATCTTGTCCTTACACACGGTTGCACTGGATCTTGTTTCCGGATGACAAGGCGGTGCTGATATTTTCAGAAATGCCTGTTTCACAGAACTTTGTTCCTCCGTACGTCAACTCACAGGAAACAGAGAAGCATTCATAACTAAAAACAAGGGAGTGGAAAAAGAAAGCAATAAAACCTTTTGTCCTTATCAGGGTTCTGGTCAAGATTTGTATCTGTATGCACATATTTGTGTATCAGTATGTGTGTGTGTGTGTGTGTGTGTGTGACTATAAATGCACACATACTTGATCAGCCAGCTGGGTTGCAGTTGGTAGAGTGCAGAAATATTGAATTGGAGGATTTCAGTGTTGCGCTCAACGTCTAATATTTGCAGGTTGCTGGTTACTTCCTGACCTCTGAAGTCTGACTGGAAGTTGTCAAAAAAGATCTGAAGCACTTTCAGCAGCGCCCTGTGGAGCATGATCATGGCTGGAATATAGAGAATAAACATCTGTTTAGAATGTTAATATACCAAACCAGTAACATTTTACTTTAAGACCCCCTATTTAGCATTTACAAGCAGTAAAAAGGCATCTAATAAATGGTGTACAACACCCTATAATGTAGTTAAAAGCAGATATATATATATATATATATATATACGTACATTTCTGTGTATTTGTAATGTACAGTATTTGACAAAAACTTCAACTTGTCCTATGAAGACATTATTATAATTGTGTTGTGCTGTATTGTCCTTCATAATCTATTTAAACACCAGAGTCTGGTGCTTATAGGTTACCCAGTTGAGTTTTTGAAAAACAAAAGCACTATAAATAATCTTAAACTGGTATTACAGTTGAGTCACAGCTACTAACCGGTTTCACACTGAGACATCTCATCATGACTCTGTAAAAAAATACGAGGAAGTGTTGCTGTTTGTATTGTGATAAAAGCAATCGTACAGCAGAATTCAAAAGTGATCACACAAGAAAAAAAAGCAAAGTGTTGCACTGTACGATTATACTGACAGTAGAAAAGTTTAACAATTGTATGTGACATCCTACCAGAGGTATGGGATTGATTCTGTTGAGACTGCCAATAGCGTCCTCCAGCTCCTCACATGAGAGCCCACACAGAAGATTGCTGATGGCCCGAACACGGCACACGAGCACATTAACGTTCATCCCAGACTGCAGACACAACGAAATGAAAAAGTCAACTTCAGATACATCACTCCTACTGACACATCTGAATTATCTTGAGGTGGTGAACCCCACAGCACACAGTTTAAACTAATGCAAAAAAAACAAAACATAATCAAATACTGTTGCATTTGTGCGATATGTGGGAGACAAAAATAATGTTCTACTGGTTATCCTCTCTTTACTGACCTTACTTCTCATCAGCTCTGTCACCTCTCTGTTGTAGCTACTGAGCACACCCTGCAGGCTCAACCTGAGACAGGAGGACACACAGATGTCATGGCGGTAGGGGACCATAAAGCAAAGCTACCTGTCCTTATGTCGTCTACAAACAGACGCTGGTTGACACATGACCCACTGAACAGTTTTTCCATTTCACAAAGCTGATGTGGGAGGCATCTTACTTGCAGGTATTGAAGACACAAACCGGACGCAGGAGCTGGTACAGTTGACACGGTGTTCTGTCGTCCTCCCCCTCAGAGAAAAAACAGATTGAAATTGCTGTGTAGGATTGTGGCAATGTATTGTGTAGTGTTTTTGAAACCTTATAAAGCATGTTGACTCCTTAAATGGCAGTGAACATTTGATTTTATGACTATTAATCTATGGTTACATCACCATGGTTACATCACGTTCACCTTTATTCTATTTCATTCTTGCTGCTAAATGCCAGCAGCCATGACGTGATGTGTAAACAGAACAAAGATAAGAACTGAGGGTGGAGGTTTTTACAGCCACAATAGCCCTGACGAGAACTACAAGCTGGCAAGGGGCCCGGCACAGGTTGTTTGTGAGAGCAGCATTTCAAGACTGAAGATCGGCCACCCCTTCTTGGTAAATAATCTACACCGCAGGCTGGAACAGAGAAGGAGTTTGAACTGACTTACATCCCTGCACAGTCGGTGTTTGAGGTCGTTCACGTGGAGCAGTCGGAGGGGGACGACTAGTTTTAACCTGCAGGAGATCTGAATAGTCTCGTGCATGCCCAGCAGTTCTTCACTGAGGAGAGATCATCAAATAAAACAATGTATGTTGTGTATGTAAACACAGCATGTTTGAACGGAAACAATACTTTCTGGATGAGTGACTTACTTTTGGAGGTACTCGTCAGAGTCGCACAGTTTTAAATAATGACGCCCACTCGGGTTGGGAGTGAGGTCGAGCAGCTGGAAGATTTCATCAATCAGACTCGTCACTGTCCTGTTCACTGGATAAATGATTAGAGTTCAGAGTCCACATGCTTCTGGAGTGAGTGAAGAAGTGCTTACAAGACTGCAGTGGTGCTTTTCTGCTCCTTTGCACTTTTACTTTACTACCGCTATTTATCTGCAAATTAAAGTTACTTTTATCTTACATTCAAACCTCATGATCAACTTAAAACATATGATGCATTATTGTAGATTAGATCCTCACAGATGCTTTTAGTTTTGTGGCTGATTAGACCTGCTCAGGTTGGATTTGTGCAACGCTCTGATCGGACTTACATGAGGTGTCCATTTACTAATAAGAATGCTACAACTGTCAAGTCCAGCAAAACAAAGTTTACAGGGCAGCCCCTGAAGTCCCGAATATTCCCTTAAACTATTATTATTATTTGTAAAAAAAATACCCGCGGAGTAACAGTATTACTATGTTTACTATACACCTTAGAATTACCCTCCACAACAGTGACGCTGGTATTGTTTTCATCTTGTGAGTCTGTGTGTGTGTCCTCGGGGCATTTTTTGAGTACTTTGCCAGGTTTAAATATCTGTCTGTGTGCATATTTTGTCTTCGTGATAGTGTCGCAACCGTGCAAGATGCAGTCATGAAACTTACAGTTTCAGTGTTTATGATCAAAATGAAGGTTGAAATCTTGGTGTGATCCCATCGCAAGATGGTCTCTAGTTCTGATCATTGTTATTTTTAGGTGTGACATCATCAAATGAAAGACAACCTTCTGAATTTAATTTCTGATGATCAGTATTATAATTGCCTGTGGTACCGTGTTGGTTAACCTTACCTGTGGTGGGGAAGGGGAGCTGGTGATGGCCCCACTCAGTGGCCACACTGACATTCACCTCCGCCTGCTGCAGCAGGGCCGGGTGGATTCGTGACAAACGACTCCATACCGCACCAGAGTTTTGAAGGCTGTCTGCATGCCTGTACCGTGACATCAGCCTGCCAGAAACAGTAAATAGAAGAACAGGTTGCCAGAGTGAAAATGGAAGTATGATGACAGATATGTTCTGTATTTAAACTTCATATGAACATGATCAATTTCAGCTCACCAAAAAGGTACAAAAATAATAGGAAACATTTTGTAAAACATCCTCATGAGAAGATTACTTTTAAGCAAAACAACATGTGATCCAGCAGTAAAGAGCTACTCAAAGTGATTACTATAGAAACAGCACATACCACATTTAAAGTTGTGTTACTGTTTTGCATTTATACGTCATTTTGAGAGTTACAGTGTCTTAAAGGTGGATATTTTCTCACAGTATCTAATATTTTATATAACTAGAAAAATAACTACTATAAATATGTTGGAACGTATTTGCATGCACTCTCTCACTTGGAAGTTGCAGCACAAAAAGACGTCAGCCTCTTGGTGCTGCCTTGTGGCGTTTCTATGAGTGGGATGGTCCATGGGTCCTGAGGTGAAAAAAAAGAAGACAGATTGCACTCTTAGGCCTTTTCTGTTAATTCGGGTCATTTGATTCAATCACAAAGGAGCCTTTTGTCTTCGCTGAGGGAGAAACTACTGGAGATACTCACATGATCGTCCATTTCTGTACGGGAACGATTCAGTTTGTGAAGGGGGTCACTGAGGTCACAGGATATCTGCTTTTTGCAGTTGCCGAGGGATATTTGTGTCCTGGAGGGAACAGGAGGGGGTGCATGGCCTTGTCTACCTGGCAAACATGCACTGGGAAGTCTGGTTCTGACTATAGGGGCAGGGCGACGGATTAGTGGAGGAGGTCCATTTGAGTTTTGGGGTCCTGTATTCCCGGGACCTCCTCCCCCATGATTCCACAGATGGCCGGGGGGTTTGGATTGGGATTCAGTTGAGGATATGATCCCAGTCCCGGTCCCATATGAATTGGTTTCATTATCTTCAGGGAAGAGTCCAATGCGCTCGTAAACGTGCATTGGAGGCAGATCGTCAGTAAGACGCACAGGGAGGTCAGTGGCGTTTGCATCCTGTCTCTGAATTGTTCCATTTGGCCTTTGGTTGGGATCCATCACATTTTAGGCAGTCGTTCAAATCCTCCTGTCTTTGTCACACTTCCAGCAAGTCCTCACTTCATACCACAGCAGAATGCAGAACTGTGTGGCATTAAAAACAGAATGAAAACCAGAATTAGGAATTACGGCAGGACAAGTAAGCTGTTTATGTCTGAGTGTAACAGAACCTGCGGGGTTAACGCTGGTCTAATTATTAACAGGCTTTCAAATCTTAACAGGAAATCTATCACTGCGCGCCACTATATCTATGGGACAGTGAAACATGACAGAAGTTCTCAATAACACCACGATCGATACACGACTTAAATGCTGTTCTGTCAAAACATTATGATTCAATAAGAAAGTACACTTTTCACATTACTAAGGATCTCACATTTACTAAAAGCACATTCACAGTTGACAACTTTAGATAAGCTCCAAATAACAAATGTAGTCTTTTTGAAAAGTATTCTGAGCTTTATTGTTGTTGTTGACAACTTACCACCAGAGTTCTGTTAACCGTGTTCCTGTTGACCCATCTTGTGTTGGTGAATGCCCGACTGGAGCCATGCACAGCTAGTTAGACCTGCTCCAAGACCTGGATCGCTTCCCGTCTGTGTTTCCTTACCCCTCCCACTGTCTGTCCCCCCCCCCCCCTCACCCCGCACTACACAACCCTCCCCTCTGCTGGAGGAAAGGGAACATTACATTACATGTGTGGATTATTGTAGAGATAACTTAGTTTGTACTTTTGTTAAATTTGCAAAACAATCCAGATACATTTTAAAGTTTTTTTTAAAAATCTCTCATTATATCAATATTAATTATTATGTAATGAATACATCTATCCAGTCCAACTAAACCAACAGACTACATCACATCCACTCCTCACTCAGGAATGTCATTGAGCAGGTTGAAGTATGTAACCACCGTGTTTCTCATGTGAAGTTAAAGCAGCAAGAAAGAAATGTGTTTGCGCACTCTACACACGATACATACGGTAAGATAGTTGTTTTTTTTCCTGAGGAAAGGTTTGGATGCTATAGAAGGCATTATCTGTGCTATCATCAATTTGCTAGACAGGTCAGTTGAAACACTACGTCCTGCATACTGATTCTTGGATTATAAACCTCTTAGTAAAGTGTGTGCTGTTTGACTCTCTATAGCAATAGTTATTAGTCTTCCTGGGGTTGAGAAAGCCCACCAGGGCCTTTCAGTTGGGACCGCCAGCGACGACACTCCGCTGAATGTGTCACAAAGGTGTGAGCTGAGGAGCGCGGGGTGTACTGGATGTGGGAGGAGATCAAGTACACAGAAATGCATTTCAACCACACAACTCCCCACATTTCACCCCCAAACCCCAAACCTGGATTTCCTGGTTACTATGCACTCATCATCTTGGTCCTACTCCTACTGATTGGATGTGTAATCGCAATGGTAAGAATAGTTTTGTATATTTAATTTCACATGACTGCTGTATAGGTTTATCTTTTAAGTTTGTGTTGTTGTGCTTCTCTTCAGGTTCTTTATATCAGAAGGAGGTCCAGGTAAGTTGTTTTCTGTGGTTTAAGCATCACTTTCAGAACAATTTGGTATCTTTTATGTCCTGTCAACATTTGGTTTCTTTTGTATGCTCCGCTTTAGATTAGATGAGCTGCGGCATAGGCTGATTCCTCTGTACAGCTACGACCCCGCAGAGGAACAAGAAGAGTGGGAGGATGCTGGCAGGGAGGAGGAGGAGGAGCTATCTGTGAGCAAACCACTAAAACTTTACCAACTGTATACAATATACCTACATCTTCTATCAGATATGGGTCGTCATGACCATTTAAACTAATCCATAATTCCTTGTTTCTTTACAGGAACCTCTGTATAAGGAGGGAAAGCTCTCCTTTTCATCTGGGTCATGAACAGAAAATCAAGAAAGAAAAAAGAATGTGGCAGATTAAAGGATTCATATTTTGTAATGCACACACACTTTACAAACAAGAGACCGGCCGCTTCATGAAGTTTAAAACCAACATCTGGGAGACATTCCACAGCTGCAGCATCACATCAAATAATGTCATTTAAATTTCTTCCCTCATGACTCGTTCTCTGCAGAGCGGCAGGCAGCAGGTGGCGCTGTAATCTGTTCTGTTGCCTCAGTTGAGATTTTCTTTTAAAGACTGTTCAAAGTGTTCTGAAGGATGAATCGTGATGTTATTTTTGAGCAATGAACTGAAGGCGAAAATCCAAACTAAAAGCTGTTTTTTTTTGTGTGAATTTCTAAAATGATTTATGGATTGTGTTAAAAGAGCTTCAAATACACACACCTGTTTCTGCTTAGTAATCAGAGGGTTTGCTGGTGTTTGGAGGTTCCTCAGGTCGACACATCTTCACCCGTTCAGCGGGTTTTCACAAACAAAAAGATGGGATCACAAAGAGAAATCAGGTGAACATTACACCGAAACAAAGTATTGAAACCCACCAAACCTCTGATTGATGAATGTGTCTAATGATATGAATGTTTGCGGTCTGTATCCTTAACTCTGTGGGTGGATTTACATTAGTCTGGACGTCCATCTGTTGGGACCACGCAGGCTCCTGACCTCCATCCTGTTTGCCACGGCTCTGGTCCTCCCCGCTCTGAGCCTGGACAGCCTGCTGTGTAACTACTGTCCTCTGCAGCAGAAAGGCCAGTCCTGCCCCATCATCGTCAGCCAGTGTCTGCCTGATCAGCGCTGTTCCAGCTCCAGAGGCCACTACGGCTCCCTCCACATTCTGTCTGCTCAGGGCTGCGTGGACACTGAACTCTGTGGCTCCCATGAAATCGCCTCTTATCGGGGGGTCAAGTACAACGTCAGCCACACCTGCTGCTGCAAAGACAAATGTAACAGCCAGCCTAAATCTCACGCCAACCTGAAGATGCTAATAGGGATGATAGATTATACTAACACCACTAATGTTCTTAGAGAGGAGCTTTGGGATTCATGTGCAAACTACACATCAGGGAGCTCCACATTACCTGCCACTGCATCATAGATGTGCTTGTAGCAGGCTGGGAAGAGGCCTGTTAGCCACAGGCACTAATCTGAGTCTCTGAAAGGTCAGACATTTGGTCAAATGTTTGTGATTATAAGTATCTTTGCTAAATGAGTAAAGAACACACCATGGTGCATGTTTTGTTTGATTATATTTTTGCTTCAGAGAGAAAGGTGGACTTGTCAGCCATCCTCCTGATATTGTAGAGTGAATAGTCACATTATTCCTGTGGTTACTGATGAATGCTGCAAAAATAAAAGCGCCATGATTAAGCCTCCCACTTGGTGTAGTTCCTTTGTGTTCATTTTACAAGCAGGTGTGCTAGGAGGTGTGGCCTGTGCAGGAAGATCTGGAGTCAGTGGTGAGAGCAGAGCTCATCAGGAGAAGCTCTGGAAAGTTTTACCTGTTTACCTGACTGGAATTAAAATCTTTCAAATGGCCAGGTGAGTCTTCATAATTCAGCTTTAGTTGCACACTGAAATTGTGTCTGCCATCTCTTTACTGCATTTACTGCCTTGAGCATTTTGAATGGGCCAATCAGTGATGATCACTGACACCTGTGCAGAAGAGATTGAATGATGAGATGTGATAACACTGATTTTACATGTCAAAGTTGATATATTAGCCACATGCAGTTCTACGGAGCCCATTTGTCAAGTCAAGTGATGTGACTTAATCATGGCTATGAGGCCATACATGTTGAATAGAAAATCTGCAAACTGGGTAAGTGGAATATGATAAATTATTGTCGGCATTTGCATGGCAGAACGGGAATTGACGAGTTGCATTAATGGAAGTGCTGGTACTCGGTGTTTTTTTTAGATCCCTCTCTCCGTGGAAGTGCGTTACTAAACTGCTCTCTTTTTGTGTGAATTTTTATTTATATTTTTTCCACAATATTGGGTCATTAGGTCAGTGAAATACCAAATAAGCACCAGGGTGAGTTATTGGTGAGCAAGTGACTCTGCTTCTGTCTGGAGAGGTCTCAGACGGATAACAAACTACAAGCCTGAAGCCCCCCCCCCCCCCTCCATGAATGATCCACGCCTGGCAAACGAGCTGAACCCCCTCCCCAGTTACAACTCTCTCTATTCTGGAGAGAGACGTCAACAGGCTTTTTAAAAGTCAGAACCCCCGAAAAGCAGCCGGCCCAGACTCTGTCTCCCCCTCCTCCTTGAAGCATTGTGCTGGTCAGCTGTCTCCGGTGTTTACAGGCATCTTCAACACCTCCCTGAAGACATGCCACGTACCAGCCTGCTTCAAGACCTCCACCATCATCCCTTGTTGATGGTGGTGAGAGGGTGATTGGCTGCAATCTGCCGTTCCTCCAAGACTTGTTCGCCTCCAGGACCCTGAAGTGGGCAAGAAAGATTGTAGCCGACCCCTCTCACCCTGGACATAAACTGTTCGAGTCCATTCCCTCAGGCAGGAGGCTGCGGTCCATCAGGACCAAGAACTCGCGCACAAGAACAGTTTCTTTCCTTCGGTAGTTGGGTTCATCAACAAAGCCCGGGACCCCCGCTGACTCAGACTCCTACATCCCCAGGACAATTTCACACACCCTTTCTTTCTTTCTATATTTAAATACACTTGCCACTTTTATAATATACAGTACTTGTTTTAAAGTACTGAACTGTTTGTTTGTCTACCATATCTTATTCTAAATTTGAATATGCACTGGGTTCATTGTTATGCACCAGTCAAGTTAAATTCTTTGTATGTGTGACGTACTTGGCAAAGGATTGTGATTCTGAAATGCCTCTTCTTCAACTTGCAGACTGAACATGTTGCAGCTCCTGCACTTTGCCGTGTTGTGGTTCTACCTTCTCCTCCCCTCGTTGCTGTGTGACAACCTGTTCTGCTACTACAGCCCCATCCTGGAGGTGGAGAAGCCATTTGAGCTCATTGTGACAGAGTGCCCTCCCGATAAGCTGTGCTTCAAGGCCGACGGCCGCTACGGCAACCACAGCGCACTGTCGGCCAGGGGCTGCATGGCGAAGAGGGACTGCAGCCAGGTGCACAGCATCGACCTTAAAGGAACCGTCTACACCATGAGCTACAGCTGCTGCGATTCGCCGTACTGTAACTCCTGCCCGGGCGTCGCTGCCAATTCCCTCCACATCACTGTAACACTCATGACTGTAGCTGTGATGACCGGCAGCTGGTGACCAAAGACACCTGATGCGCTATGTTCCTTTGGGGGTTCATGTAGAGGGGGAAGATGTTTGATGTTTGAAGTGAGCATTGGTAAGACGCGTCTCTGCAGCCTCTGCAACGAGTAATGCAAAGAGCCTGCAGCGGTGTGTGGTGAATGCCCAGTCTGAAGACACTGAGGTGTGCACCAACCAGAGACTTCAGCATATTCTTTTACATTATCTTAGTGACAAATCTGTTTTATGTTTTAATATCTATAAATAAAAATTTGAATAAGAAACTATATTCTTCGTTTTGTTATTTGATATTTTCAGGGACCTTTCTTTCTCACAACACACACCAGACAGTGCTGGCGATACATTTTTCTTATTATCTCAACAAATGCGTTTCCATATCCTGAAGATATTCCTCTGTGCTATAGAGCTCCATTGTCTGAAATCTATTAAAAGCACATCAATGAGCGACACTTTTCTGAGGTCCGGAACACCAAATGATGTCTTAACTTGCGCTATGATTCAGTCCCATGTATACTGAAGTAGCCAACAGTTGTATTAACGTCTGTATGTCATCAACATCTGGCTATCAAATAAACAATATCTAAACACTTAGTCAGATTTCAAATTTAACTGGATTAATTATAAATAATATATACTCCTTAATAAATAAAATAAAATATGTATCAGTAAGCCTTTGAAAAATGTGACTCTTAAAACAAAGTACTTTAGTTTTAGAAAAATTAATTTAACTGAATTGTCTTTGTCCTGCAGCTTTAAATTCAGTTCATATTATTCTCATCTTCTAAAAAGAGAAATGTGTGTGCAGGACTTTGTGGTTCTTCAAACCACTTGTTTCAGCTCCATTCCTCTCCGTTAACATCGTTGTTGGTTAGTGAATTAATGTGTGCTTTGTGGTGCTTCACATTACGGTCTCTGAACATAGGAGACGTTCTGGTTTTAAACTGCCTGTAGGAAGAATGAAGATATACAAGTCTGTCCATTCTTAGTTAATAAAGACTCTGGTCTCTCTGGTCTGCCTATTAGTGACCCCTGCTCTAGAGCACCAAATGTCTGAAAATAGTCCCCATGAATGCAGCGAAACTATTTAAATCTTTGGTAGGATCTAATGGTAATGGCCTTGGGGCTGAGTGCCACAGACGGGGAAGGGATGTCGGAAAGTATTGATAGACGGACCGACTCATTGTTGATATTTGTTAATGAGAAAAGTATAAAGAGATGCCAGGCTTATCTGTTAAGAGTGAAAGAGAGCAGCTCAAACAATGTGTACAGTATGAGGTTTGGACAGTTCTTTATTTCCCTTTTATAAGGCTGCTGGGTCTCCCCATAGTGGATATACATATATATACAGGAGATTGCTATACTGGAGTAACACTGAGGGCAGAGGGTCCATATTACACAGACTTCAAAAAACAACACTAATAGAGCCTCACCTCCAGGTATCAGAAATCAGCAGAGAGAGAGGGGGGGGGGGGGGGGGGGACGCGCAACAGCACATGAGAAGAGGGAAGAGAAAGAAGAGGGGCGATGATGCAGTCTGAGAGCCTGACTCGACGGCCTAATAACTTAACACTAGAAAATAACATACAGATTTCACGCACAGTGCATCTTAAATAGGTTACGTGAAGAACCATTTACCATAAATATCTGTATTTTCGGGAACCAACATATATAAAAAAATGTTTAAAAAAACAACAAAAATCAATGTTCAGTCTTTAATTTTTTCTTATTTTCTCCTTTTCCCCGTCGTGCAAATCGCTCCTTTCGTTCCTTCTTCCTGTGGAGGCCGGGCTTTTTTTTTTCCCACCCTGCCAACATCCGTTCCAGATAAACGAGGAAAAGGAAATAGAACCCCCCCCCGCCCGCCCCTTAAAAGCATATGAATTAGTAGAAAACGAACGAACGAATGAACAGAACACCACAGTCAACTCATCACAAAAAGAACCCACAGACACACAGAACAGCAAGAACACAGTACTCTTATTTTTTTTTTTTACAACTTTTTTTAGCTTCTTCATCACCAGTTTTCCTCTTAATGGTCGGTATCCTTTACGCCTCTCTTGGCGTACTGGTTGGCGGCAGTGGAGTGGTCCTCCCCCCCCCCCCCCCCCCCCCCCCCCC